AGGTTTTGCTGCGCTGTGTCTACCCCAGTGCCCTGGCCCGCGTACCGCTGCCGAGCGGCGCCCTACTGACATATACATCTCATCTGATAGCATCTGACATACTCAGGACGGAAATCTTGAACCTTTCGATCCATGGGACACTACTCACCCCCTCTCCGGTCGCAGGCCTCGCGGTGCTCGTCTGCATGCTCGGCGCCACGTTCTGGGTGGCTCGCTGGATTGCGCAACGTGGCCGTTTGGCCTGCGGCAGGAGAGGGGGTGAGTAGTGTCCCATGGATCGAAAGGTTCAAGATTTCCGTCCTGAGTATGTCAGATGCTATCAGATGAGATGTATATGTCAGTAGGGCGCCGCTCGGCAGCGGTACGCGGCCCAGGGCACGGGTAGACACAGCGCAGCGGTCCAGCGCGCGGGGCCCACATCCTGAGCCGGAGAGGATGGCGCGGCCGGGTTTCGCGGCACCGTGGGTTTTGATCTATCGGTAAGTTGGGCGCGCCGCTTAGACCTCGGGATAACGGATGTGTGCCGACACCAAATACTGATCTAAAACCCCTGGCACCCCTTCTTCACCAATATATGCAATAAGCTGGTCTTTCGCTGATTACAATTATTTTTTTTTGCGCCTGTCCGCACGTGCGTGTCCCGCGCGCCTGACCCAGGCGCGAAAAACGAATCTGCGAGGCGAGGCCGCTCACGCGGCCCGATGGGGAGGAACGGGGTGGACTGCGGGAATCGGCCTCTTACACACCGCCCTTCCTTGCAGCGAGCCCCCTCCAACCCACCCGCGCTAGGTCTCGGGTTTGACGCATGGGGTCACTCCCGCGAAACTCGGGAACTAGCCGGGGCAGTCGGAGAAGGGGCAACTCCGTGCACTGACGGTCGGCCGTGTCAGAAACCACGCCTGCGTGGATCGCGTCACACCAATCCTCGCTACCCAACGCGGCCAAAGGATATCCACCTCGAGAACCTCGAGAACCTTGTGTGTGTGTGTGTGGGGGGGGTATTACATGTAAGGTAGCGGGGGGGGGGGCGCCAGAGGCTGGTTACTGATTGTTTTGTACCTGTGTTAGTGCCAGTGCGCGCCAGTCCCGTGCCCAGTGTCGTGCGAGGGAGCTGGGTGGTAAAATTCTTTGGCCCTACATATGATACTAGCAGGCTGGCTCGCTAGTCGACCGCCGGGCCCGCGCAGCACGCGCGGGCCTTTTGCGTTGTGGTTGATAAGGTGGCACCTTCGACCTTGCGTTTCTTTTCTTTATAGGCTGTCCTCCTTTTAAGTTTTGACCCCCCGCTAAACGCGCGAGGCGGTGGCGGCGGTGGTACGGGGGCGAGCGACAGCCCGATCGCCCTGAGTTCCGCCAGGACCGCCCGTTCGCCAGCCGCCGCGGCCACTTGATCCATCTCGGCCTCTCGGATCGCATTCTCCCGTGTTGTTTTGCCCTGTCTGCTGCCGGCACGAACCTCACCCCGGGCTGCCTCGTGCCCTTTGTGGCAAGATCCGCGTCGGGGAAGGCCGACCCCTAGGTGCATCCCCGGCTCGGGGTGCGCTCGTCTGTTGCGGCGGCTGCCCCCCCCTCGCCGCCAACCCGTCTCCTCGCCTCCTCTTCTCATGGACCACAGGGGCTGCACAACAAAAGCACACAAACACTCCCTGTCCCTGCATGGCTTGGCATAGGCGCGTCCTCATCCCCTCCTCCGCTTCTCCTCCCACTCGCTCCGAGATCCGTAATAAATAAATAAATAAAACGGGCACGCCAAACGAGGGGTGTGAGAAGGACAGGGTCCCCACCTGCACGAGCAGGATCTTGGAAGGACGATCAGGGACACAGGGGAACGGGAGCGGGGAGCGCATCGCGACGCGGAGGGGGGCTGGGCAGGGTTCACCCACACGACAGGGTCCCAGGGATTCCTCTCTCGTATAGGACAAAGTTGCACCCGGCGGCACGGGGGCAGGCGCGGGCCTCCTACTGGTTGCGCTCTCCTAGTTCTCCTGCTCCTGACAAGGGACAGCGACAGGCTCGCAGCACGGTGGACTCCCTAGGTGTTAGATACACACGGGGGGGTGTTTGGACACACAGGATACACGTGAATCCACACTCAGTCTGGATACACAGTGGATACACAGTGAGATACACAGCCTCCGGTTTCGAAGACGAGCACGTTTTTTTTGCTGTGTCCGAAAGAGGTATTCGCCTGAGATCGCCGTCGCCGATGCCCTTCAACCCGAACCCGGATCGCGCGCGGCGCGGCGCAGGCGCGACGGCCCTTGTGCCTGCGCCGGCACCTGCGCCGGCGCCTGCCGCCACGGCCCTCGCCGCGGCGGCGCCGGCTGCAATTGTGATGGCTTAGTTTGGTTCTCCCCAGATAGGCATGAGCGAGCGAGAGCCGGAGAGGGCGCGTGTGTAGGCAGCTACCGAGAGTTGAGATACACTAGATACACTGTGTATCCACCCAAGTTCTGGATACACTGGATACATATCTAACACCTAGGGTGGACTCCCTATTCCACTGGCGATCTCTCTCGACTAGCGACCTTCCTCTGGCTTCCGAGATCCGTCCAGGATCACGGCGAAATTCTCTTTCGTGCTCGCCATCAATGTTGTCGTGTGCTTGGACTTGTGACACATATGGCGCTTTCCCTCCTCATCGCCAGCAAACTCGCCACGGCGCTGGCGACGGACGCGACGACGGACGCCAGCGCTGTGATCGTGGAGACTCGACCGGGAGGGGAGCGTAGCACGTTGCAGCACCCGACGACCGCCAGCTTGGGGCAGCCGGAGCTTGGGCAGGCGCAGCAGCAGGTCCCGGCGCCATACGCGGCGGCCGATCCGGGCGCGGCTCCAGTCGAGGCGGCTTCGTACAGTCAAGGCCCGCCTGTGCTGGAGCAACCGCAGACCCTGGCGATTGCGCACAGCGAGATCGGGCAGCGGCAGACAGACTTGCCATTTTTGGAAGAAGTGCAGGCAGAGCGCGCCGCCGGTGGCGAAACCGAGGGAGGAGGCGGAGGCGGAGGCGAGGGAGCGAGCGAGGTAGGAGGAGAGGTAGGCGGCCGAGCGGACGGAGGGGCCCGCCTCCCCTCAGACGCCCCTCCCTCGAACGACGTCTCGGCGAGCCTCGCGGGCGGCGGCGGCAAGGGCGGCGGCGCGGTACGGCGCAACCGGCAGCCGCCAAACGCGACGGGACGCTCGCGGGGCGCAAAGGCGCGAGGGCGGGGGGGTAGCGGAGCAGGCGGAGGAGGCGGAGGCGGAGGCGGCGGCGGTCGCGGCCGCGACGGCAGCGGCGTGCGGCAGCAGCAGGTGCGGCAGGGCAGCGGCAAGGGCAGCAGCGCGGTGCTGTGGCGCGAGGAGGGGGAGAGGGTTGGTGAGCCACTTGCGGGCAGAGGGCTGCTGCTCTGGTCGTGGCTGCTCAGCCCGTGCGCCGCGCTCCTCTTGTACTGCTGCCTGCCGTACACCGTCTCGCGCCGGCTCTTTGCGCGCGACCGCCCGCCGGGCCTGCTCCGGAAGCGCTCGTCGACCGAGCCCGAGCCGACGGGCGAGCCTCTGGTGAGCGACGCAAAGTGGCGCGGCGGCCTTGGCGCGGCGCCGCAAGGCTCTCTCGCCCCGTCCGCTGCTCCCACGGGCTCGCGGTCTCGCGCTGGGGGCTGCAGGGAGGGAGGCAGGGAGGGAGGCAGGGAGGGAGGCAGGGAGGGAGGCAGGGAGGGAGGCAGGGAGGGAGGCAGGGACGGCGTCGGCGGCGACGCCCCCGGATCGCCGCTCTCTGACTCCGCGGCACCTCCGTGGCTGCCGACGGTGCAGCTGCTCTGCCCGTCGGTCTGGCTGCTCTGGCGGCAGCTGCCGCACTCGTGGCGCGAGACGCTGCGCGCTCCCTCCAGCGACGGGCGCAGCAGCCATGCCAGCCGCGGCAGGTGCTCGCGAGGCTCGCGTTGCCCTGAGGGCTGTGCGTGTCGCTGGTGTAGGAACAGCAACTACACCAGCGACGCCAGCGAGTCGTCGGACGGGCTGCTGCACCAGCCGCTCGGCGCTCGCTGGCCGCTGCGCGTGCGGGTGGGCTCGAGGGGAGAGAGGGGCGAGGGCCCTCGCACACGCAAGGGAGAGGGGGAGCTGCTCTGCCCTCGCACACGCAAGGGAGAGGGGCGAGGGCCCTCGCACACGCGAAAGCGGCCGCTCACCCGCCCCTCTCGCGCATGCGGTGCAGGTTGTCTCCGACGAGGACGAGCCGCTCGCCCCGTCGGTGATGAGCAGATGGCGGCGGATCGGGGCGGCGCGCGGAGGCTCCCGCGGGGCTCGCCAGCTGCTGCCGCTCTCGCAGCTGCCCCCGCTCCACGCCACCGACGGGCAGGCGTGCTTGCTCTCCGAGGCGCAGCGCGCGCGGCTCATCGCCCAGCTTCCGCCCTCCCTCTCGCTGTGCGCCTGGGAGTTGCTGCACTCGACGGAGCGCGACGGCTGCTCGCTCGCCCTCGCGTACCGCAAGCTCGAGAAGGCCGGCCCGACGGTGCTGCTCGTGCTCGACGCTGCGGGGTGCGTGTTTGGCGGCTTCGCCTCCTCCTCGTGGCACGTCTCCTCGCACTACTTTGGGACGGGCGAGTCCTTCCTCTTTGCGGCGCGGCCCGAGTGGGCCGTCTACCCGTGGTCCGCCGCAAACTCGCACTTCCTGCTCGGCTCGCCCGACTCGATCGGCTTTGGCGGCGGCGGCAGCTTCGGCCTCTGGCTGGACGAGTCGTTTGAGTTCGGCTCGAGCGGACGCTGTGACACCTTCGCCAACGAGCCGCTCGCGGCGTCGCGCGATTTTCGCGTGATCGCGTGCCAGTTTTGGGGCTTCAATGCGATGCACGAGAGTCCGCACTTGCCCCACGAGAGCAGCCCTACCTCACCGATGCACGCAATCGGCGAGCCGCCCCGCACCTCTCGGCACCTCTCGTGGTCCGGCGATGGCTCGTCCGCGAGCCGCCGGCTGATGCAAAGGACATAGTCGTAGCATGGCCGGAGAGCCCGAGACGCGAGAGGGCGCTCTTTGCAATACGAACAGTTGTGGCTTGTGCCGTGCAACTGCAGAGTCCAGAGAGAGATCGATTATAGGAGAGGCACGCGGCCTCGCTACTCCGTACTCGCTCGCCGCGCAGCGCGAGATGTGGTGTCGGCAATATTGGTAGCGATGTGGTGCATGGCGTGCACATTGTGGGTATTTTGTTTTTGTATTTTGACTTTTGGGTCTGAATCATCCCAATAATAGGAATAGCAAACGCACGAGAGACGTGAACGCTCGTACCCTCCCGACTCAGGCCTGCGCTTGTCGGCAACGAGACCTCTCCTTGCAGAGGAGAGGGATCCCCCGGCGGTGGCCTCACGGCTCCTCCTCCGGCAGCGGAAGGGGCGCTGTGGCGGCGGCGCCAAAGAGGGGCGGGCTCGACTGCGACGTCTGAGAGGAGTACTGGAAGTGGTGGAGCGCGCACTGCGTCACCAGCACGTTGCTCGCGTCGACGCCCGTGTTTGCGTTGCGCGCCGTGATGTGCACATTGTACCCGCGCGCGTCGTTCGCCTCCCAGACCATCGTGCCCGTCACCGTGTGGCCGCCGCCGACGGCGATCGGCGACTTGAGCAGCGCGCGCACCTGCTCGCAGCCACGCTACTTGAACCTTCCGACCCGCGATCCCCCCTTTTGGGTGCCGATGCGCCACCTGGTACCAGTGCGTGAGCGGCTCGTTTGGCCCGGTCGAGAGCTGGACCTGCCCGCAGGCGGAGGGGTGAAGAGGCGGTGCTCCCGCCTCTGCCGGCGCCGGCCTCGCAAGCTGCACCTGCCGGTGCGAGCCCGGGAAGCGGCAGTCGAACCAGAGGGCGAAGCCTGCGCCCGGGACGGCGAGGGGGGGAGCGCTCAGCCAGGGGGAGCGCGGGCAGCGGCAGCCGAGCTGCGGGCGGCGGTCTCGAGCCGTGGAGCTGCGCCATGCCCGTCACCACGAAGCTGAACGGCAGCTCGAACTTTTGGAGCTGGCCTGCTCACGCACCGCGAGGCGGTGAGGCGACGCACCCCTCGCCGGCGGCGCCTCTCTCTGCGAGGCGTGCCGAGGGTCATCGTCGTGAAATCGAACTCGAGCGCCGCCGGCGCCGCGAGCAGCGAGTGCGGCGCGACGGGCCCCACGACGGGCTGCGAGAAGTAGAAGCGTTCCGCCGACTCCTGCAGCGAGCTCAGGTCGACGCCTGCTCGCGAGAGGGACGGCGTGAGCACGCCGCCCTCGGCTCGGCCGGCCCTCGCTGCGGCGAGCTGCGCCGTAGAAGCTTGTCTGCGCCCAAAAGTGGAGCTTCTGCTGCTGCTCGGCGTAGAGCGCCGCGTCGGTGAACGGCGCCGCGTACAGCACCGCCTGGTCGGGGTACATCTTGCCTCCCGGCTTGAGGAGCCGGTCCCGCGCCACGAGGTACGACTCGAGCATCCTGCGCCGCAGAGGCGGGGGAGGGCCGGTGGGCGGCAGGGAAGAGAGGGGCCTGCATCCGGTGTGGGGGCGCCGAGTCTGCCGCCCGCGGCTCGCGTGCTAGCGGCGGAGAGGGCCCGGCGCAGGGAGGGAGGGAAGGAGGGAGGGAAGGAGGGAGGGAGGGAGGGAGGGAGGGAGGGAGGCGCCTCTCGTTGACGAGCGCGATGCCGAGCGGCTCAGAGATGAGGATGTCGACGCGCTCGTCGAGCTCGACGTCCTCCACGCGTTGGTTCAGCACGCTCACCTCGCCGGCGAGCCCGTTCGCCGCGGCCAGCTGCTCCGCGTGCCTCGCCATGCCAGACGCCTCGACGGCGAACACGCGAGCGGCGCCGGCGCGGGCGGCGAAGAAGGAGAGGATGCCCGTGCCCGCGCCGACGTCGAGCACGCGCTTGCCCCGGAAGTCCGCCGCGTTCTCCAGGATGGCGAACTGGTAGATGGAGGTGCGCACCTGGTCCTGCAGCATGCCCTGCTGCTGCACGAGCGTCGAGTAGTCGTTGAAGTACATCTTGTCCTTGTCCGGCAGCACATCCGCCACGAGACCATCGATCGCGGGCAGCACGCCGCCAGACGGCGCGTCGGGCTCGGGCATGGGTGTGTGTGCGCTAAAAGAAAGACGAGGAGCGCGCGCGCGCGCACACACACACACACACATGCACACTTAAACCTGTGTCACCCGGAATCCATAGTGTCACTCTTATGGATTTGAAATGTCAAATTTGCAGCAAGCAAATTTGCACGCAAACTTGTCATTTTGCGAGCAAATAAGATGCAAACATCACACCGCGTGCGCCCCCGCCGGCGTGGGAGTGGCCGCACCGCGTGCTGGGTGTGCCGTGTCGCGTGTGCAAGAGTGCAACTCCCCGTGACCACGTCCACGATAGCCCCGCGCTGCCCCCCCCCCCCCTTGGGGGGCGCGGTTAGCTCGGTTGACGACCCGAACATTCGCACGTGGAGCGTGTGTGTGGCACTCTAAGGATGTTTATCTGCGCACATGTGTGCGTAATTTGGCAATATTTTGAACAGAGAGCCCACTCGAGTAGCGCACTAGAGGCCAGGCATCCCCAGGAGGCGGGAGAGCGAGCTCGCCCAAACCATCGTGAGGCGGGAGCGGCGATAGCGACGACGGCTTGGACGTCGGCTTGGACGTCGGCGGCGCGGCGATGATCAACGTGCGGTGGCATCCCGCAACACGACCGAGGCATCCCCAGGGCACGTCAGCTAAAAAACGCCGAAGCGCGTGCCCCTGATCGTCCTTCCAATCGCAAACCCCGTCAGCAGTCCTCCTCCGGGAATGTACGTAAGAGCCACATACATTGAGAGAGAGAGAACGGAACCTACCTCGGCGACACAGAGGCTGCCTCGGAGGCGATTGGCAAACGACTCGCCAAAACCCTCCGTCCGCTCGACTTCATCGACACGCTCGAATGCACCGAGGGCATTCAGAACGTTGGACACCTCAAGTACAACCTCATCACCCGTCAGGCCTGCCCAAAGACGAAGTACATCTGCTCCGTCACGCCACCCGAGATCAGCGAGGGCCCGGCCATCGACGGGATGTACCATGTACGGCCCCGGCATCGCCTTCCCAGGCTGCTTAGCTAGAGTGAGAGATATTGTGCACATGGTCAGTCTCTACAATATACTCACTGACACTTTACCTCCCAGAGCTCGTCCCGGTCCGTCACGGCCATCCTCGGCCTCCGGAGGGCCCCCGGCCGCGGCACGGTGCGGCGGCGTCACAAATCCGACCACAGAGCACCGGGACGCGGTCGGGCGATCTGAGGCCCGACTAGGCGTATGCATTGCCTATCCAGGGCTATCACCTGGACCTATCAACAGGCGCCTGCGGCGCCGTGGTCAGGAGCTGCTGTTCACACTTGCACAGACTTTGATACGGCACAGTACAACTTGCCGCGCTGACGAGACGGTCTGCCACGAGAGAAGAGAGATGTCTCTTCAGGCGCTGGCTCTTCAGGCGCTCGCCTACTATAGCGGCGTGGCCTCGCCGCGGGCGGAGCGTCGCGTCGAGGAAGCGTGCGCCGCGTGCGCGCTCAAGCTCGGCCACGCGCTCGGCCCGCCGTGGCAGCGGTGCGTCATTGAACTGCTGCAGGGGTACGAGGATGATGAGTTTTCGCTTTCCGACTTCAGCTACTCGCCGCTGACGGCGCTGCCCGGTGCTGGGCGTGCCAACGGCGAGCTGCTCAAGAACCTGATGCGCAACTTCACCTGCGACTTTGAGGATGGCGGCTCGCAGCCTCTCCGCACGATGACGTGGCAGTACCAGGAGCGCGACCCGTGCGCCGGCGCGAGCGCCACGGAGCAGGCGCGCTCGTTCACCTACAAGGCGGGCTACTTGCCCGCCGGCGACGAGCTGACCGAGCTCAATGGCTTGATGAGTGAGGCGGAGGCGGAGGCCGCCTGCCTCGCGTCGCCAGGCACGGTCCACACAGACACTGCACTGGCACCTCCCACACACGCACACGCCATTCCGCACACACTCTGCGACTCCACCGCGAGCCGCTCTAGACCCACACGCGCTCTCCCCGAAGGCAGAGCCTCGCCGCCTCCGCCTCCACCGCCTCCGCCTCCACCGCCTCCGCCTCCGCCTCACCGCCTGCCGCACCGCACCCCTCCCGCCAAGTGTGCCGCGGCTTCACCTACAACTCCGGGGAGGGCGGACGGCCGCCGCCGGACGCCATGCGGGCCGTCTACTTCAAGTCTGCGATCGGGGAGGTTGGCCTCTCGGACCAGTGGCGAGCGGCCCGGCCGGCCGCGCCGCGGGAAGACGGCGGCTCCTCACGCGGCTCTGCCTGTGAACAGGCACACGCTCAAGCGGCGCGGCGGGCCCGGCTCGAAGCCGCTCGACTGCAGGAGGGGGAAGCGCGCGCCGCCACCGCTGCCGAGCCGGCTGCGGGTGAGGGGCGTGCCGCGAGCGAGCACACCCGAGCGTGACGCGTCCGCAGCACGCATCTCATGTCTCCGCGACGCGTCCGTCCCCGCAGGTGGACGTGCTGCGCGACGCGCCGCCCGTCTACCTGGTGCACGACTTTGCGTCGGACGAGGAGTGCGAGTGCGTGGCGCCCGCCTGGCGCATCCCCGTGGGGCGAGTGGCCGGTCCGTGCCTTGTCTGCGACTGTCCAGTGACCCGCGGCGTCTGCCAAAGGTACATGGTCAACCTGACGCTGCCGCGGATGACTCCCTCGGTGGTCTTCTCCGGCTCGAAGGGCGCAACCTCCACGTACCGCTCCTCGTACAGCGTCAACATGGCGCCGCGCGGGAGGGAGAGGCGGGGGGCCCATTTCGGGAGACGTGACTGACCAGGCGGCTCCGTCGGCGCAGGTTCCGGACTTTGAGGACGAGACGGACGTGGTGACGCGGCTTATGCGGCGCAAGTTCGCCTTTGCGCGCGAGGTGGCGGAGTACGACGAGCTCGTCGAGAACGAGGGGCAGGCGCGGCACATGCACACACACACCACACGCGACCAAGCACTGGCCACCCCACGCACTGTCCGCCCCACGCCCGGGCGGCGCGGCGTGCGCAGGAGCCGGTCAACGCCGTCTACTACAAGGACGACGGCGACCAGTACCGGCCGCACTGCGACGGCGAGTGCCATGGCGGCGGCTACCGGCGCGGCCGGCGCATCGCGACGAGCCTGACCTACTGTTTGGTCGGCGACAAGGGCGGGTACACCTCCTTCGACCGCGCGGGGCTGAAGGTTGTGCCAAAGCGGCGGATGATGCTCTTCTTCGGCTACAAGATCAACGGCGATCCGCCCGCGATGGACAACGGCCAGACGGAGCACTCGGGCTGCCCGCTGCGCGAGGGGCGCAAGTGGATCGCCACGATGTGGTACCGAGAAGGGATGACCCCCGAGAGAGGGTGGCAGCAGCACCAGCATTGACGCCTCGAGCCGCGGCGCTCGGCGCAGGATTTTGCGTCGGGGTTATTTGTGTCGTAGGTGTAGGGGCTCAGGGAGAAGCTTGGTGGAAGTGTGCGGGGTGATGCTCCGATACGTAAACCCCTCCCCGGATCTTCGACAAAGGTTCGGCATTTCTTTTTTCAGGTTCGCCTGTGATAGTGCTAGCACGCGCCAGTCCGCACCTGTGTCGAGCCTGTCTGCTGTGAGAGAGAGTTGTTTTGTTTAAATTCTTTTTTCAAAGGGCAAGGTGTGAATGGCAGCTTTATGATAGGGTTACTACGCCGAACTATGCGGCAAAATCGACTGGGGCGCAGGGCCCGGATCGCCCCCCCACGCAGAGACCTCGTAGTAACCCCTCAGCGCAACCGACTTGCCACTTAGATGGGCCGTGTCCACGCCTTGGTCGTCGAGAGGCACCATGAAGCCGACCTACCCCTCCGTGCCGCCAATCGACGGCAACGTACCTCCGTATTGCTCTCTTGGGACAGCAAGCAGGCGCGTACGATGGTCTAATGCACGGCAAGAACATCTGCGATGCAGCTCTGAGCAACCTGCCGTCAAACGCGATCACTGAGGCGATCCGGTCGGGCGATTTCATATACATATTCTCCGGCTCTCTCCCAACGTCGTCCTCGATCTCGCAAAGGCGCGGGCGACCACGGCTGTCGCAAGGTCGTTCAAGGAGGGCTGGTGGGCGATCGAGCACATCTTTTACGGTACTCCAAGTTCACCGCCCTCGCCGTCCCCAAGAGCGCCACAAGGCTGATGCGGTGATGGCTTCAATCAACGGGCCACGTCACTCGTAGACGGAGACGTAAAAATACGGAGCTTTTCCAGCACATTCAAACACATATTACAAGTAACCGACAGGTGCAGCACACCAAAGTGAACAGAAGAAATACATCTACTCGCGGGCCAGGGGGCGGGGAGGGGGGGAACTACTCGCGGCCCAAGTCCAAACATCTCGCGATTCGGCTGCGACCCGTGTGGACATGGCACTTGTCTGCTGCTCGATGCCGTCGGGAGACGGCGACCTGGAGGCGCTATTTCGAAAGGCTGGGGTCAGCGAGAATCTCATCGGCCGTTACCTTCGGTCGCTCCTAGAGGCAGGCGTCGCAAACGTCGGTGACCTCCGTGAAGCGGCAGAGGAGTTCCCGGGAGACGTCCGGAAGTGCCTTCCCCCTTTGACGATCCTTCGGCTATCCAAGCACGAGGACGGCCTCAAGTCTTTGCTTTCCTCTGATTACGGTGGTAATGCTCGGGCGGTCGGGCAGGCAGCCACAGAGGCAGCGGATGGGGCGGAGGAGGGCGGTGAGGTGGAGGGATTGGTGGAGGGATTGGGAGGGAAGCAAAGGGGCGAGGAGGCGGAAGGCGAGCTCGCTTTCACAACGCCCAGTTGGCGCCAGCGGGCCGAGCCCAAACTGCCTCCGGGGTACACGCAGGCCGGTTCTTCAAGGATCGTCGCGCCAGATGGCAAGCGATTCCATGCTCTCGGGCCGGCGTGGGCGCACTATGATGAGGCGGCGGCAGCAGCAGAGGAAGGGAGCCTGTTCATGGTGACGGTGAAGCGCGTCGATGGCACACTCGGCCTCACCATGGTGCAAGACAACCGAGTTGAGGAGGTGCACCCGGGCGGCCCCGCGGCTGAGGCGGGACTCAAGGCCGGGGACGTCGTGGTGGAGATCAACCAGAAGTCGACGCACGTTGCCCGCTTCTGTGAACTGCTACCCGCAGCCTCTTCGTCGCGCTGTCCGGAGATCCAGCTAAAGATCCTGCGAACGGTGGCGGCGGTGGGGGAGACGGCGGCGAAGGAGGCAGCAGAGGAGGAGGAGGAGGAGGAGGGGGTGTCGGTGGTCCGCGAGAAGAGGGTGGTGGGCCGTGGCCACCAATACCTGTGCAGGCTGCAGGGCGGCAGCGAGGTGTGGCTGAAGGGGGCGCTGCTCAAGAAGCGGCACCCGGAGCTGCTCACTGCCTTCAACAACCAGGCGCCGTCTCTGCTTTTACCCGAGGAGGAGGTGGTGGCGGCGGCGGGGGTGGCGGGGGCGGCGGCGGCGGCGGAGGCGGGGGCGGCGGAGGCGGAGGCGGCGGCGGCGGAGGCGGAGAGCAGTGCGGGCTCGGGCGTAAACTTGCCCAGAGTCGCGGCGCTAGCGTCCGAGGCTGCCAAGGCCGCCAAGGCTGCGGAGCAGGCGGAGGCGGAGGTCCGAGCGGCGCAGCAAGCCGAAGCCGTGGCCAGGCAGAAGCTTGCGGCCGCGGCCAAGTCTGTGGTCCCTGGGGCGATAGCGTCGCAGCCCGTGGCGGGCGCGAGGGAAGAGGCAGCGTCGATGCCGTCGCAGGAGAACGCGAAGGAGGACGAGGCAGCGGAGACGGAAGCAGAAGAGGTCGAGGCGGAAGGAGCGGAGGTGGAAGAGGCGGAGGAGGGAGAGGCGGGAGCGCAGGACGCCGTTGATATGCCTATCGCAGTGGGGCCGGCCCCGGAGGCGCACGGCCAAGGCTCCGGACCGCAGCCAGATGACGCCCCTCTGGCTACTACGCCGCAGCCAGATGCCGATATCGTTACGCCGGCCCCCGCCGATTCGATCGATCTCACCCTCGACGACTCTCCCGTCCAGGCCGACGCCGTGCGTTCGCAGCGCCGCGGCTCGCGCACGATCGGCGGCGGCGGCGGCGGCGGCGGTGCCGGCGGTAGCGGAGGGAGCGTCGGCAGCAGCCACGTCAGCGGGAGCAGCGGCACCGGAGTCGCGCATGCCATCAGTCTCCGTCGCCGCTGCAGCACCAGCGATGGCGGCAGTTTCGCCGACAACATTGGCAGCGGCGGCGGCAGCGGTCGCGGCAGCAGCGGCAGTGGCCGCAGCGGCGGAAGCAGTGGCAGCAAGTGCAGCATTCCACCGCCCGAGCGGCTTTTTGCCACTCTGCCCGGCGCGAGCGAGAAGGAGGCGGAAGCCTTTGAAAAGCTCGCTGTCTTCCTCGAGGCCAACGGCGGTGATAGGGCCGCGCTCGCCGGCTGGAGGTGCCGGGCGGTAGCCCGAGCAGGCACCCCAGTCCAACTCTATTACCTCTACTACTCGAGTGAGGGCAAGCAGTTCCGATCGCGGCCTGATGTGGCATGTTTCCTTGGGCTGGACGTGACGCGCGTGGTGTCGTCGAGGCGGTGCGACGAGGTCTGCGGTTGGGTGCAGTGCGAAAATTGCTCGAAGTGGCGCCGGCTGGCTGCTAACGACATGGAGGCGCTACCCGAGGGCGCGTGGACGTGCGCACAGCACCCGGACGCGCGCTTTGCCTCGTGCGATGTGGCGGCTGAAGAAATGGAGGATGGCGAGCGCACGAGCGAGGAGCTGGCAATCGAACGAGCGGTGGGCGGATTGCTCCGCGAGCTCGTCCGCAAGGTTGCGGCGGAATCTAGCTGGGAGACGCGCCGTGCCGACCGCGCTCTCGCTGCCCTCCGCAGCTGGCTAACGGTGCGCGGAGCTGACGCGGCTGTCCTCGAGGGTTGGACCGCCACGGTGGTGCGCCGCGCTGTGCCGACCGGCTGCGGGGACGGAGGGGGTGGCGTGGCTGCCAGCGTCAGCGAGGGTGGCGAGATCGCCAGCGGCGCTGTGCAGGCGGCGGAGCCGTCCACGCACGCAGCGGCAGCTTCCGCGTGGGCGCCAGCGGCTCGGAGCGAGGTGTCGACGCGTGAGAAGACTGCCCTTGGTGGTTGGACAGGGCCAAAGCGTGTTCGCTGCCGCGGCTGCGGCCCATGCCTTGCGTCCGATTGCGGCGAGTGCTCGCCGTGCCTCGACAAGCCAAAGTTCGGCGGGCCGGGCACGCAGAAGCAGGCGTGCGTGCTGCGGCGCTGCGTGTCGCTCGGCCCAGCCCGCCCCCCGGCCGCCAGCATGATCGTCGCCTCGTTCTGCAGCCCCGACGGTCACGTGTTTAGCTCCCGCGCCGATGTTGCAGCGCATTTGGGGCTGGCTTGCGTCAAGGCGGTAGGAGGCACGATCGGCCTCTCGTGGGTCATGTGTGATGAGTGCAAAAAGTGGCGGCGCATCGACTCCACGGCCGCGTCAAAGGCGCGACAGGAGGAGGAATGGTACTGCTGGGAGCACCCCGAAATGCTCGACTGCGAGATGCCGGAGGAGGAAATGGAGGACGACGAGCAGTGGTCAGAGGCGGAGGGCAAGGGCGAGGATGAGGACGAGGACGAGGACGAGGTTGAGGTCGAAGTGACCGCGGAGACAGAGGATGATCCGCCGTCGTCGACCGCCGCCAACGCCGCCGCCGCCTCAGCCAAGCGAGCGCGCGACTCATCGCGGGGTGGCGTGGCGATAAGCGCTGCTCCGCTCGACGTTGCCGAAGGCAAGAGGAGGAAGGCGGAGGGGCACGAGCGCGTGCACGAGACAGTGCCCGCTGCTGCAACCAGCACCGGCCTCCCTGCCTCCTCGCTCGCAACTTGGAACGGCATGGCTGACGTGCAGCAATTGCTCGACGGCCTCGGGCTGTCAGAGTATGTGGCCGCCTTCGAGGCGGCGGGCTACGACGATATCGATTATATTCTAGGGGAGCTCGCCGAAGCGGCAGAGGCGGTCGGGATGCGCGAGGAGCATGCGCAACACTTTGTGAGGGAGGCTAGGTCCGTCTACACCACGGGTCGCGGCGTGCACTAGCATCCAAAGCATGGCATGGCCCCTCTCTGGTGACTTGTGACTAATCGTAATCCGTGGATGCGCGGGATTGCACTTGGGGGAAAGGCGTTATCGGATCTCGTGCTCAGTGTGTACAGTGGTCCACACACACACTCCACAGCCTGTGCCGGCGCGCCGGGCGGGACCGTCGCGCGTGCTGGCCGGTCGGAGACCGCTCCAGTCGCTCCACCGCACATGAGTCATGAGGCCCCACAACATTGAACATAGGGTCCACTAGCGACTAGGGAGTCCAGCACGCACCACAGCCGCCCAGGCAGTCGTCCTACGTCCAGCTTCCACCCGACCGACGACGTGTATATCCGAGAGTATCCGTTTTATTTGTGGCTGCGGGAGGTGAAGCGAGCGGGTGGCAGGGGTGTCTGGTGACAGAGTTGTGAGATGGTGTGAGCGTTGGCAGCGATTGGACTGTGTACATATCGTGTGACCTGTAGAACCTTTCTCCGCGGCGGTGGGGCGGTGGCGGTGGCGTCGTTCTCTCAGGCTCACAACGACGGCCGCTCCAGGCACGACTCGCCCGTCAGCGAGCAGTGATAGTACACGCGCGCATCCGCCCCCTCCCCCTCTCGCACCTCGCGCCAGTTGGGAAGGAGAGGAGCCTCCTCTCCGCCGCGCCTCTCTGGGCCGCTCGGCAGCAGTCCCGCCGCGGCCTCGCTCTGCGGCGCAGCGGGCTCCGCGGTGGGCTCTGCAGCGAGCCTCTGCCGGATGCGCCTCCCCTCCTCGCGCGCGCGCTCGGCATCCGCCGCGCTCTCCGCAAGCCCCGCCGTTGCCTCGGCCGCCGCGGCGCCGCTGCCGATGGCGGCGCCGTTGGCCATCCCGCCGTTGGCCTCGCCGCCCCCGTTTGCCGCCGTCGAGCTGATCGAGATGGAGACGCCCGCGAGGTAGTCCTCGCCCGCCTCCTCGGGCGGGGGCGGGAAAACGCCGTCCTCCGCATCGCGCGCCGCCTCCTCAAGCTCGCGCTGCGCCGCGCGCAGCTCCGCCTTCCACGCCTCCGCCGCGTCGCCGTCGCCGCCGTCGCCGCCGCCGCCGCCCGCGCTCTTGTTGCGCCGGCGCCGCTCCCGCCGCGAGGCGACGTGGCTGAGCTGCTCCGCGCTCTTCCAAGTCCGGCCCTCCTCCTCGGAGCCCGACTCGTCCGCGCCCCACTGGAAGCGGCGGCCCTCCTCGTCGATGTCGGACGAAGGCGACCGGTCGCCCGCTGAACGTGGCCTCGCCGGCATCCGCCACGCCGGGTTGCCTACAGCGACCGTGTGACACGCTCCTGCGGCGGCTGTGCCGCGCTCAAAACGGGCGCCCGCTGCGGGCTGCCGAGCACGGCGCGTTGCCCCTCGATCCACTCGAGCCAGTCGGCCCAGTGGCGCGACCGCACGAGCGTCGTCGGGTCGCCGACGATGACGAGGCCGCGCTTGGCGCGCGTCAGCATCACGTTCAGCCGCCGCGCGTCCGAGACGAAGCCGAGCGAGCCGGAGCGGTTGGAGCGGACGGCCGAGAAGACGATGAGCTCCTTCTCGCGCCCCTGGAAGCCGTCCACCGACTTGACCTCGATCTCGCGCCCTCCGGGCAGGCTGCTCACCTGCTGGCGCAGCAGGCCGACCTGCGCGCCGTATGGAGTGACGACGCCGACCTCGGCCGGCCGCAGCTCGCCTGACCATCAAACAAGAGTACTGAGACAGCACTGACGAACGAGTACCTCGGCCGGCCGCAGTTCGCGCGTGCTACTCGTTCTGGAGGTGTCCGGAAAGTCCGGGAGTAAGGTGTCCAGGAAGTGTCTAGGAAGTCTCGCCGGCGTGCAGCACGTCGCGCAGCAGCGAGACGACGGCGCTCGCCTCGCCGGGGTTGCGCTTCGACTGGCCCGCGCCCTCCTCGCCCGACCCGGAGACGAGCAGCGCAGCGTTGCACGAGGGAGACGGCCAGCGCAGCCCGCGCGGCTGCGGCCTCTTGGCGTCGGCCACGCCGGAGAGGTACTTGCCGCGGTAGAAGCAGGTGGAGACGAAGGTGGCGAGGGAGGGGTGCATCCGGTACTGCGTGTCGAGCAGCAGCGGCTGCACGCCGAGCCGGAGCATCCGCTCGAAGAGGGAGACCTTGAGGCCGCGCCGCGCCGCCTCGTCGCTCAGCACGGTGGGGCGCAGCTGCTTGTGGTCGCCGACGAGGACGAGCTGCCTGCGAGGAGGCGTCGCGGACGGGTCGCGGACGGGTCGAGACGTGTCTCGGACGAGGAGGAGCCTGCCTGCAGCCGCGCGTGAGCGGCACGAGGCACGACGGCTCCGTCGACTGCGCCGTCTCGTCGATGAGAACCATCTGGAAGGGCACCTTCTTGAGCAGCTCGCCGCCCGCAGCGACGCACGTGCAGAGCACGACGTCGGCGCCTGCTCACGGGTACACGCCGGCGTGAGAGGCGTGAGAGGCGCCTCCACGCCGCGCGCGCGCGCGGCGCGCCTGCGAGCGCCGGCGGGCCTCCCAAATTGTCGAGCAGGTACTTGTGCAGGTCGGGGCGCACCTGCAGCAGCGGCAGGCAGCAGCAGCAGCACGGGTGAGGCGCACCGGGTGAGGCCGCCGCCAGAGGAGGGCGCCGGGCGAGCCAAGCCACGCCGCGGCTACAGTCGGGTGCTTCTCGGCCGGCTCTCGGCCGGCTCTCGCACCGCGTCGGGTCGCCCCACGCGCACGACTCCGACTCCGTCCTTGGCGAGGGAGGCGAGGATGTTGTCCACCTGCGAACACGCGTAGAGAGGGGGGGTGATCTGCTGTCTGCTAGTCGGTCTGCTGTCTGCTAGTCGGTCTGCTGTCTGCTAGTCGGTCTGCTGTCTGCTAGTCGGTCTGCTGTCTGCTAGTCGGTCTGCTGTCTGCCCACCGCGACGTTCGAGTCGGCGGTGGCGAGGACGGGCTTGACGCCGAGCGCGCGCACCCACAGCGTGAGGATCTGCACCGCGACCGTCGTCTTGCCTGTCCCCGGCGGGCCCTGCACCAGCGTGAGCCGCCGCGTGAGCGCCGCGTCGACGGCGGCGCGCTGCGAGTCGTTGAGGGTTGCTTGCGAGAGGAGGGCGCGCGCGTTGACGAGGGCGTCCTCCGCCGCGAGGCCCGTTGGCGTCGTCGCCATCCGCACCAGCTCCGCCTTGTCCTGCGCGCCTGCGGGGCGCGGCGTGGAATCGTCGTGGACGTGTCGTGGACGGGTCCGGGCCAGCCTCCCTCTGTCCCGGCGCGCCCTCTCGCCCGCCCATGCTTGCGAGGAGCGGGCCCATCAGCGGGGTGACCATGGTACCGCGCTTGCAGAGGAGCGCCGCCGCGTCCAGCTGCCGCTTGTGCGTGATGAGCGAGATCTCCGCCGCCTGATGACGCGAAGAGGAGCGGGTGAGCCCGGTGGCGCCGCGCTCACGCCACGGCTCTCGGGTCGTCTGCACCTCGGAGGCGCCTCCGCGGGCGTGCAGCGCCTCCTGCAGCTCGATGCCGAGCAGCTGGGCGAGGTGGTAAAAGTAGTTGTGCATCGCGTCGTCCGAGAAGGTGAGCATGTCCAGCGCAACCTCCTGGAAGCGCGCCAGCCGCTCGCCGTCCGAGCACCGCTGCACAAACGTGCGGCAGATCTTTGTGTACTCGTCGAGGTCGAGGCCGCGCTCCTCGGCCATCGTCTCGGCCACGTAGAGCGCGTCGCGTGGCGAGCTGGCGGCGCACAGCGCGAGGAGCGCGGTGCAGGTCGCCTGCTGCGGCGTGCGTCGGCGGCGCAGCAGGTTCTCGTAGCACGCGAGCGCGTTGGGCAGGTCGGACGCCTCGATGTAGGCGCGCAGGTGCGCCTCGAGCGTCGGGACGGAGAGGTGGCTGGCGACCATGAGGCAAGGCGTCGCGGCGATCTGTGCACTACAACCGCGAGCCCGTGGAAGAAGAAATTTATCGTGGCTGACTTTTCTGCTGTGTGGTGCACGCCCTCCGAGCGTGGCGGGGTCTGCCCGTCGGGTTGCTGCCCTAATCCCACCAGGGGTTGTCTGCTCTATTTATCAATGGTTTCCGACCGTTGAGGTACAAGTGTTCGAAGAGAGAGTGGACCTGAGCAAGAGTGTTGCTGAGCAACGACATGACTTGGAGGCAAATGATCGGAGTGGGAGTCAGAAATGTGGTCCTTGCGCGAGGGGAGCTCGATAAACTCGAGGGGCCAAATTATGCCGCGAGGAGGGCGGAGTTACGCAGAGCGGCGAGAGAAGCAGCGAGAGCAAGGCAGACGGCAGAGCGGCGTCTCAGAACGAGGCCGAGGAGAGCGATGAGTCAGAGGATGAAACAGCAGGGGAGAGAACGAGGACGAGAGTGAGAAGAACGAGAGGTGGCATGAAGCTTGAAGGTCGCTGCGAGAATTGGTGAGAGACTGCGAAGAGAGATAGGAAGTGGTAGACGCCCGAGGGTGGGCGACGGCTAGCACCACACTCCTCTCCTTAAAATCCCTGTGCGGTGGCGGCGTGCCGTCCTCCCATCCCTCCCTTGGGTTGTCTCTTTTCTTTCTTTTTTCTGGTTTGCCTCGCTTTGAAGAGATTCTACGACGATGCCTGTTTCCCTTCCTTGCGCGCACGGGCCCCGGGTGGACGCTGGACAGATGATGACGGCACGCACGAGAGCGACACACAGACACAAACAGGCTCACAAGACACACAGCCAGCTGGCTGCCACACACCCTGAGAAGAGAGAGTAGACGTGTACACATAAATCCTCCCTGTCGCCCCCCCCAGCCGCTCCAAGGTGCCACCTCTAGCAATCTCGCCGGCCGGCAAGAAAGAAGAACACGCACGTTAGGTTAGGTTAGGTAGAAAGAAGTAGGCTCGAACACGTTTCGCGGAGTAAAAGAACTCGCGCGGAAAAAGTCGAGCACAAGGCACAAGTCATGGGGGTCATCAAGTGACCGCGACTGACCAAGCCACGCCACCTCGCTGGCCTCTCCGCAAGGCCCCCCGACCGCGTCGAACTCATCGGCGCGGGCTCTCTCGGCTACGGGACCGGCCCCAGCTTCGGCTGAGGGCTAACAAGCTGCCGAGCCCAAATCACTGTGAGAGCCTTGATTTCTTGTTGGTCTTCAAAAATCTCTCTCACCAACGCGGTATGGGTGGACGCTGGACAGATGATGACGGCACGCACGAGCGACACACAGACACAAACAGGCTCACAAGACACACAGCCAGCTGGCTGCCACACACCCTGAGTAGATAGACGTACTCATAACTCAGGGCCACATACATGCCCACATCCTCCCTGTCGCCCCCCCCAAGCACTCCAAGGTGCCAAAGGAGACGACAGGAGGTAACACGCGAGGCTAGAGCAGGCTTGCTCCACCTCTAGCAATCTCGCCGGCCGGCAAGAAAGAACACAGCGGAGAAAAAGAACTGGCGCGCTGAAAGTCGATCAGTCGCAAACCTTTGGACTTGGACTGCTCCAGATGCTCGCCTACTCTCTCTCCTCGCTCGCTGCCGGCGTTGGCGTCAAGAGCATCGCGCCCACGCGCCACTCCGAACTGCTGCCGCGCGCCGAGGTCGAGGCGCTCGGCATCGTCTGGAAGGGCAACTCGTCGTCGGAGACGTCTCACGACTCGCTCGTAGAACTCACCTCGTACCCGGACGACTTTACGTGGTGCGACAAGGACGGCGTCAACTACTGCACGCCGTCGCTCAACCAGCACATCCCCCAATATTGTGCGCACGCCCCACCCTTCCTCTTCCCATCACTGCGCTCCTTCCCTTTCCACCGCACCGCCTCTCTCACAGCCGACGCCCTCCGTAGGTGGCTCGTGCTGGGCGCACGGCTCGCTCTCGGCGCTCGCCGACCGCATCAAGATTGCGCGCAAGGCGCAGGGCACCGACATCCAGCTCTCGGTCCAGCACATGCTCAACTGCGGCAACGCCGGCTCGTGCCACGGCGGCTCGGTGCCTCCCTCCTCCCGCCCCTCGCGCCACGCTCGTACCGGCCACGGCCCTCGCCGCCTCAAAGCCCTCGTCTCGTCGCGGCGGCGCCTCCTCTCCTCCCCTCCCCTCCCCCCTCCCGCCCTCCCTCCTCCTCACCTCCCTCCACCCCCCCCCCCCCTCACCCCCCCTCTGCCTCCCCCTCTCCTCGCGGCGCAGCTCGACGGCCCATACCAGTGGATCCACTCGCAGCCGGCCGGCATCTCGTACGCAACCTTGCAGCCGTACATGGCCTGCTCGGCCGAGTCCAAGGATCGTGCCGCCGAGCCTCCCCCCTCCTCCTCAAGGACGCGGCCCCTCAACGCCTTCCTTCTCTCACCTCGCCGCAGGAGGGGACCTGCGCGCACGGCGACTGGAGCTGCACGCCGATGAACGTGGCCCGCACGTGCGGCACCTTCGGCCAAGAGTGCGTCGGCCTCTCCCACTTCCCGAACGCCACCATCGCCGAGTACGGCCACATCTCTGGCGCGCGCGCGATGCAGAAGGAGATCGTTGCGCACGGGCCGATTAAGAAATGAGTGATTAATAGAGGCGAGATCGAGTTCTCAATGAATAGGAGATCTTTGCGCGCGGTCCGATCGCGTGCACCATCGACGCGGCGCCGATCGAGAAGTACACGGGCGGCATCGCCACGCAGCGCTCCTTCATGACGGACCACGTCATCTCCGTCGTCGGCTGGGGTGCGCTACTCCCACCTGCAGCCCTCTCCCCCTCCTCTCCCCCTCCCCCCCCCCTCCCCGTCCCTCGCTCCCCCCTCCCGCCGCCACCGCCGCCTCTGCGCCCCTTGACGCGTCCCTTCATACCCCCCCCCCTCTCCTCGCGGCAGGCACCTGCCCCAAGGAGGGCCTCTACTGGATCGTCCGCAACAGCTGGGGCGAGTACTGGGGCGAGCAGGGCTACGTCAAGGTCAAGTCTGGAGCCCTCGCCCTCGAGCAAGCCTGCGCGTGGGCGACCGTCCAGGACTTCACCGCCCCCGAGCGGCACAACCAGTACGCCTGCTTCGAGGACGGCTCCAACTGGGACGCGTCCAAGCCCGGGGCCGACACGCCGCCCGCCAAGGAGGGCGCCATGCTCGGCAAGCTGCACGAGGCGCTCGGCGGCGGCCTGTAGAGGCGCGTGGCCCCAGAGGCGGGTGGAGGATGCGCGGCCAACAAGGGCCCGCGCCTCCCCCAGCCCGCCTCGCCCCGCCCCCTCGCCCTCGCCGACTGCGCGGAAGTGGGGACGGATCCTCCCCTTCCCCCCCTCGGACGCCGCTTGCCCCCCCCCCCCCCCGATCGACCTGTCCATCTTTTCTGGTGCCACTGACGCGCGCCCACGTTGCCTGTTCGTGGGCGGTGTTGTGGGGTGTTCTCTCGCCCGCGCTTCTTTCCTGGTGCACCGCACGCGTCTAGCTCTTGTCAGGTCGCGCGGAAGGCTGGGAGCTGGGACGGTCTCGTGTGCGAGCTGTGTCAGCCTGACTCTCTTGCACTCTCTCTCCTCGCTCGCTCGACCTCTCTCGTACGAGGTGTACCGTACTCGCCGCGAACGATCACACCGCGCTCGAGTGTGTATAATACATGTGCGTGTATATATGTGCACTTCACCCCACGAGCACGACGGCTACTCTGATGCTCCCCGGCCGACCCGTCCTACGCTACCCGACGGTGGAGCACCCTTCCACGTCTCGCTCACGCTGAGAAAAAATCTGAAACGGCGTGCAGCAGAGTCACCGACGAGTTGGTCCGCGTGCCTCCTCTCGTGTCCCGTACCGTTCTCACACATCCATAAACTCACTTTGGCCTCACTGAAGCGATGCCTGAATCCTTCTTAATCCTCGGATTTTAGATTAGGGACGCTGTCGTGTGTCGACCCCCTCTCTAGCTCTACCCGGGGCCGACCGGGCGGGGGGCGGCCGGGGGGGGGGGGGGGGTGGGTTCCTGGTAAAATTCTCCCAATAAGATCCCGCTTGGGCTTTGTAACACTTTCCTACTTTATCACCATGTAGAGTGTTGTTTCTGGACGAAGGTATTGGTTGCTTGAGTTCTGGTGCGGTGGGATCTCT